GACTGCAGTTCTGCGGGTCGTGGTAAATGTGCCGTTTATGCCAAGTGCGATAACGTTTTAGACATTACTGCGGCCCGTGGAGGGAGGTGTAACTTTCACATGTGCTTCAGAATCAGCCTGTGTTTCTCTGTTTGTACAGCGATAATAATGTCCGTTCTGAAAGGCGGAAACTATCTCCTCATTATCGAACCCAGAAAGCGTTGAATCGTTTCTTAATCTCACAAAATTTAAAAGATACAGTCAGTGATTTTTTCCAGACGCTTTTTTTTTTTATATTGGGGGAAAACGTCCCTAAACCCTAAAAGTATCAAGTTGTGATGTGTTTTTGAATAGTAATGGAATTGACCATATGGCTATAGTCTACAAAATAATGAAAATTATTTTAGAGCGGACCGATAAAAACAAACCAATGGGATTCGTTCATTCCCAACGAACCAATGGGATGCGTTTACCCCCTTCACCCTCTTCCTGTTTCTCACGAGTGCACCGGAGTTATCGGATTTTATAAAACCGAAAAGGGCTGAACAGAAAATGCCAATTTCACGTTTGCCGCCCACTCTCCCTGTTGTGACAAAGAAAAGAAAATGCTGGATGTTTGGTTTGGTGGAGAGGGAGGGGAGGGGGGAGTGGTTTTCAGTCGATGCTAAGGCTAAGCTAACAAAGTCGCTTACTGCACCTTTAAGTCGCTCCCATCTCGAAGTGTCATGTGGTTTCTTTTCTAAGGCAGTGTCTCAGATTCATGCACCAAAACAGGCAGGAGCAGACTTCCTGAAAATGCAGTGTCTTCACTCTTTCTAATATTACTGTTATCATTTATTTTTATGCCTCTTGTGATTGTTTTTATCTCGTTTTCTCCAGCACTTTGAGTTGCCTCGTGTCTTAACTGTACGATAATAAACTTGCCTTGGGGCAGATGGCACATACTGGCTGCCTCGCTTGTGTCACTGTGCCCCAGGGCAGCTGTGGCTTCTGTTGTATATCACGTGAAGAGACTTTGAGTGACCTGAAAAGCACAATACATTATTTTAATCATTTATTTGTAAAGCCGATTTAGACAAGTGTTTTGTAACATTTTATTTTTATTTAAAGGAGCAGTATGTAAAAATCTGGCCAAAATTGGTACTGCAGCCTCTCCCACTCTCCCTGACTCAGGTTGCCAGATATGCAGACGAATCCAGCTGGGACCATACATAGACTGTATATAATAATGGACAGAGTCACGCCTCTCTCCACCGTTCATAGGAGTTGGCTCCATGAAAAGTGCTTTCATGGAGCAATCCAAGATGGCCGCGAGTGGTCCCGCCCACAAGAAAATTGTGAAAAAACCCATCTGCGCATGCGTCAGCCGGAGCAGCTCCATTCATTTGAACGAGAGACTTAAAAAATTCACAGCAAGTAAACTAGAGTGGACCAAAAAAATCCACCCCCCCTCAGCATTGACACACATGTGGAACGAGCTTTGGGCCAAGAGCCAACTTTTGGTCCATCCTGTAAAGACGTTTTTGAGAGGTCTGCTAATGCTATATGTTAGCATTGGCTAATTCTTCTTCTGGGTCCACCCCCATCGGCCCGGGGTGGTATTGCAGCATGTCAGCGCACGTCATTTTGGCCACTTTTGAGCTGGGACCCGCCCCCACTGGGACCATAACAGCTGAATAGACAAGAGTTTTGTCAAAAAAAATCTATAACCAACACCTTTTTCACAAAGATAGAAATCCTGGGTTTATTCCTTGTTTTGTCGTTAATGATTTGAGAATCATAACGAGACCTTTTTTAGTTCTGCGCCACATGGTACTTTACCAGTGAGATTAGCTCGACGCGGTGAGTTCTGGCGCCCGGATCACAGACTTTCTGATTGGTGAAACAGATGGAGGGCGGGACATTAAAATGAAAACAATAACAAGATTTAGGGGCTGGAAAACTAAATATATAATTGAAATATCTCTGAACTACTGTTATCAATTAAAGAAGTGTTGGAAAAGAGCAGGTTTTAATAATGCCTTTGGACAGATTAGGGCCCTTTAATGATGACTAAACATGAAAATCTTACATATTGCTACTTTAAGGATAGTGAACCTTAAGGAAAATGTTGCAAAATAGGAGAAAATAATATTAATAAAGTTTTTAAAAAGTGCTATAACTGAACACAATGTGATTTAATGAAGTGTTTTTCCTGTTGACTTTGAACAGACAAAGCTTTGTAATTAACACCATGGACTCCTCTGTATTGCTCAGACCAGTTCAATAATTCTGACATATTTTTTGACCCAGTCGTGTCTGTCGTGAGTTGTTTGAGATTTTGACAAAGTGCAAGACGACCATTTAACTTTTACTTTGATACATGTTTACAGCAGGGATGTGGCATTGAGTCCTGTGTAAACGCCGGGGCCTGTATGGCTACCTTAAGGTGACCCTGGCGGAAACATTATTCACATTTTTGGCCCCTCGAAACCCGGAATGGTCGGTCTCGCCTTGTTTACAGACAGAACATAAGCAGAAATATGTACGTGCCTTTCCATCCCACCGGCCCATAATGCATTTGTGTGGTTTCCCATCCGACTCAATCATTCACAACAATGCTTCGACTTCTAAATAAACACTTACATGAGACTTAGCTCTGAAATTACCCACATTTTGTTGTTTGGTTAGCCGTGCAGCCGAGGTGTATACACTCGTCCCCAACCTTGGAAAAAGCACAGAAGCACACAGACTTATCCACCACACGCATAGGTCGAATTCTGATATGAAACCTGTACGATTTGTCTTTCGTTTCGCAAATGTATAACGCTTGTAGTTCGAATATCAAAACGTTTCATGGTGGTATCTGTCACGCTCTCGTCACCGGGCGTTATCCACAGCAGCAGTAATAAAACGTGACAAGATCGGACCTGTCAGTGGTCTCCCAGCCTAAACAATTATAGCAAGAGCAGTGAGAATTAGCATTGGGGAGCGCTGCGTCCAAAGCGGAAAATAATCTGTGTTTTTTTGGGATGGAGAAATATGTGTGGCTTTCTCAAAATGGAATATCAGGGCAGTCCATGGATCATTATTGGCACTGCTTTATTATTGGAATATCTCTCAGGACGGTTTGAGTACTGCACAGTGTGTTATGGAATCCTATCATGTAAATATCATTAGGTTTAAGTTATTTAAAGTAGCAATATGTACGATTTTCATGTCAAGTCATCATTAAAGGGCCCTAATCTGTCAAAAGGCTTTAATAAAACAACATGCCTCTTTAAATCTTGTTGATGTTTTAATTTTGATGCCCCGCCCTCCACCGTTTCACCAATCAGAAAGTCTGTGATCCGGGGCGCCAGAACTCACTGCGTAGAGCTCATCTCACTGGTAAAGTACCATGTGGCGCAGAACTAAAAAAGGTCTCGTTATGATTCTCAAATCATTAACGACAAAACAAGGAATAAAAGCAGGATTTCTATCTTTGTGAAAAAGGTGTTGGTTATAGATCTGTTGTTGACAAAACTCTTGTCTATTCAGCTGTTATGGTCCCAGCTGGATTCGTCTGCATATCTGGCAACCTGAGTCAGGGAGAGTGGGAGAGGCTGCAGTACCACTTTTGGCCACATGTCTACATACTGCTCCTTTAAAGTTATTCTCCAGGGCCGTGATGGGATATCTGCATATTGTGGAGGACAGGATGTAACCAGATGATTTTAGTTGTTAATTCAGTTACGTGGAGTGTCCAGCAGGGGGAGACGCTCTTGAGCTTCACCTAGGCTACGTCTTTCTC